TATTTTCAGTTCACCCTCTGGCTTGCTTTCTAACCTTGGGAAAATCACTTCTAGGCCCTGTGCCACCAACCTGCCATCTGTAAATCAGGACTGGTTAGTGACCTTCTTCCTCTAGTCAAATCAATGGAGTCATGACATCTGTAGTTATTAAGAACTTGAAGACACTCCTAACAGTACCATTTGCACATTTATTCTTTTGAACTTTTGTCACAGGCTGGCCTTCTTGAGCACTTGATACTTTTGTTCTAGTAACACTTCTTCAGAGAACACAATTGGTGAGGTTACTAAACTTGACCATCTTAGCCTCTTTCAAACTAAGAGAGGGTGGGAATGAAGTTTTTCCATTTCACAAGTTCATTTTCGACCAGGCTGGCCTTGAACTCACTAAGATCCACCTGCCTCCACGTCCCAAATGCTTGGATTAAAGGAGTGTGCCACCATACCTGGCACAAACTAATTTTTACATGTTTACATACTTTACTGTGCCACACATCCTCTTTAGGACATGAAACCCCTACCAAAGCAGGCCTCTGGCAATACTTGTTCATTAATGAATGTGGCCCATGCCAGCTACTTTAATACACATCTTCTCAATGACTAGGTATGCAGGATGCTTCCAGTTTTACCTTATTTTGCATTACAAATAGTGCTACAATAAGCATTATTATATTTTTTTCAATTTGGATTATTTTGAGTAAGTGTATCCCCAAATATAGATTATGTTAAAGTGAGCAATCTCAAATCTTATACTTTGCTACAGCAGCCTCAAAAATGGTTATTCTGCTAAATACTTTTATCTGTGTGTTTATCCATTTTTCCTAACTTCATCAATGGTCTTTCTTTTACTTTTCAGTTAGAATTGCAGCAAGGTTAGAACTTTCTCCAAGGCTCAGACCTCTGTTTTTTCTTCTGTTAATTCTTTGGTTCAGACCTTGGCTCTTGTCCAGAGAATCTGAGATTTGTTTAAAAATAAAAACAATACACAATTCTTCCATAGGAATACTTAATTAAACAAATTTTAGAATATTTTGAGTTGTGCAACTATCACCACAGTCAATCTTAGAACAATTAAGTCATCATTTCCCCTCAGAAAGCAAAACCAAAGAACAACCCCCCACCATCACCTGCCTTGTGCCCATTCTAGTCTTAATCCTTTCCAGTTCCCCTCTTTTATAGTTTAAACTGATAATATTGCTGTTTCTATAGTTGGGTCTATTTTGACACCTCTTATATGTATAGTCATACAACATGTGATTCTTACTGAATGAACATTGTGCTAACAATGTTCTCCAGGTTCATTCATGTTGTAGCAATCAGTACTTCAGTCCTTGCTATTACTGAACAATATTCTACCATGTAGACATATTTTATTATCCACGTACTAGGTGATGATGTGAACCATCGCCACTTGTTGTTCGTAATACTATTGTCGCTGTTCAGTTTTGTAGGGGCAAGTGTTGCCCTTGTTGTGTATATACTTAAGAGTATATACTTAAGAGTCATGTGGTATCTCTTTAATTGTACTAGTAATGACTACAGTGTCTTGCAAAGTAGCTATCCCATTTTACATTTTTTTTTCATTTTTGGTTTTTAGAGGCAGGGTTTCTCTGTATTGCTTTGGAGCCTGTCCTGGAACTCATTCTGTAGACCAGGCTGGCCTCGAGCTTACATAGATCTGCCTGCCTCTGCCTCCCAAGTGCTGGTTAAGATTAAAGGTGTTCACCACCAACGCCTGGCCCCATTTTACATTTTTAATTTTAGTATATACCAGTGTTTCAGTTCCAGATTCTTCAGTTAATACATTCTGCATTTACTAGTTAGAACTATAAAAACAAAATACCACAGACTGATCATCTTAAACTGATCATCTACACTGGAGGGTAGAAATTGAAGATAGTTGTCAGCAGATGATATGGTTTTATTTGTTATAGAAATGATATCCCTACATATCCAAGATGGCCCACACCCATGACAGTCTCAGCCTCTCTAAAGAGGCTGAGGGCCGACTGACCCTTACATGACATGGTCTTCTCTTTGTGTGCACATATGCCTATCTATTCCTCCTCTCATATGAACATCTGTCATATTGGGTTAGAACCATTTTAAAGCTGTCATTCAACCTTAATTACCTCTGTTAATGGAGCTTTTCTCAAATACAGTTTCAGGGAAGAGAGGGGTTTAAAGCATCAATATCTAATGTTAGTGAATACAACTCAGTCCTTAACACTTGACAGTTGTTAACAATATTTTTTAAATTAAACACACAATGACAGTGTTATCTTTTTATTGTATATATTATATATTTAAAATTATATACAATGCACTGTGGGTGGGTGATATGGTTGCTGTTTCTATTTTTTTTTTTTTTTTTTTTTGGTCATGGTGGGAAAGAACCTAACAAACAATTCAAAAGATAAGAAATTTGTTTTGGGTCCTGGACTCTGTGTCCTTGAGCATCACACCACAGCAGCAGGAGATTATTCAACTTATGTGGCTGGGAAGCAGAAAAGAGGCAGGAAGGGGTCAGGGAGCGATGACTTTCTAAAACAGTCACAGGAAGCCAGTGCTTTCTAACTAGGTCCACAGTTGTGCCACTTCCTGATTGGTATGAATATTTTAACACACACACACACACACACACACACATATAATGATACATAATATAAAATCTGCATTTTTTTTTTTTTTTTTTTTTTTTTTTTTTTTGGAGACAGGGTTTCTCTGTGAAACAGTCCCAGCTGTTGGCTGTCCTGGAACTCTCTCGATAGACCAGGTTGGCCTCTAACTCATAGAGATTCCCCTGGCTTTGCGTCCCAAGGGCTGGGATTAAAGGTGTATACCATATGCCTAGCAAAGGTAATGAGCATACAGTTATACAGATAACATACTACACAAAGATGTATTGTGAGCTGGGAGAGCTCACAGTAAAGTGTTTGCCATGTAAACACAAGGACCAAGATCCAAAGTACCTGAATTTGACGAAGAGCGCCCATTTAAAAAGTTGGGCATGGCCAGGCGTTGGTGGTGCATGACTTTAATCCCAGCAATCAGGAGGCAGAGGCAGGTGGATCTCTGTGAGTTTGAGGCCAGCCTGGTTTACAGAGTGAGTTCCAGAACAGGCTCCAAAACAATACATAGGAACCCTGTCTTGAAAAAAAAAACCAATAATAATAATAATGATAAATAAAATTAAAAGTTGGGTGTGGTGGCTCAGGCTTGTAATCCTGGTGCTGAGGAGGCAGAGACAGAATGTTTGTTAGACAGCCAGTCTAGCTGAATTAACAAACCCAAGGTCTGGTTGAGAGAATTTGTGTCAAAAACCAGGTGGTTGGTTTTGGAGGGATGATAACTGAGGTCTCCATACACCTGCACAAACATACATGAGACTCTACACACATAAAACCCCAAAAAGATGTGGACTGGTGAGGTGCCTAGGTAGGAAAATGCACCTGCTACCAAGCGTCACAATCTGAGTTCAGCATGGTGGGAGGCAAAAACTGACCCCAGCAAGCTGATATCTACACAAATGCTGTGGTACCTGTGAACATGTACACACATATGCAAAAACACATAAAAAAGTAAATACATTTAATTAAAAGATGTGATGAATCAGACTCCCTAATAAATTGATTTGTGTATGTTTGTGTGTTAGATTTATTTTTCTGTGACAAAATCCCTGAGACAAAGAAGGAAAGGTTTATTTTGGTTCATGATGTCAGAATTCCCAGTCCATGCTCTGGTGGCCTTTGTGTCTGTGGTGACACAAGCAGCCATGGTTGTTCACCTCGTTGCAACTCTAATGAAATGACAGAAAGGTGTCAGTATAACTTTGGAGGGTGGGGCTGTCATAACTGTTGTGCCTACAACATTCAAGGAAGTGACTCCCGACTGCAAAAGCAAAAGGTTTTTATTACTGAACACAGAGCCTTAGACCGCTCCGCCATCCTGACATAAAAGGTTTTCATTACTAAGAACTGAACTGTCTGGGACCTCATTCTATCAGAAGAGTAAGGTGCCTGCTTACTATTGGGAAGCGTTTTTTTTAAAGGGAAAGGGAGGGTCTCAGCCCAAAAGTTTTCCAAGGTTACAGATTATAAAGTTTTTTACAAGGCGGGATTGTTTAGCACATCAGCAAGGTTAGGGGTTTTTCTTTCTCTTGGACCAGCGGGCTCAGTGGCCTTGTCCTTAAGATAATGGGGAGCAGGGAGAATGTACTCTCCAGTCAGGGAGCTATCTGTATCTATTGGCAGAAGCACTTGTTCTTTCTGGTTTTCCCTTCTTAACATGAGTCCCATATCTTTTAGTTATTAATTTTCCCTCACTGAACTAAAAAAGAAAAGGTATACTACATAAGGACATGATTGTGCGAGCGTACACGCAAGTCAACATTCGCACATAAAATAAATGTATCTTTTAAGAATAGTAAGTGCCTAACAAAGACTAATTGACTCTCAGTCTGAAGGTCGCCCTGGAAGTCAAGGCTTGATGAGGGAGCTGGTCACATTGCACCCTCACTCAGGAAGCAGAACCATGAATGCTGGTGTTCCGTTTCATTTCTCCTTTTAATTCAGTCTAGGACCCCGCCTTTGTGATTGTGCGGTTCAGTCAGGGTTATACCACCTCCACTTACCTAGCTCAGAAAGGCCCTCATAGATGAGCCCAAAGGTTTGTTTCCTGGGTGATTCTAGGTCCTGCCAAGTTGAGTATTAACCGTCACGCACTCCAGAACTATTTGTCTAAAAAGGAAAACACCCTCCAGAGCAGAAGCATGTCTCCAACACACATCTTTTCTTCTGCTGGTTAGTTCCAGCCAGACATTTCGCTGAGGCTTCGCTGAGCCTTCGCTGAGCCCTGAGCGTCTTGGGAGATCAGCTGGCCAGGCCCCGCCCCAGGCTTCCCGCGCTCAGTGCCCATTGGCTGCCTTGTTGGTGGGCGGACCCCTGTACGGAGCTCAGCGCATAAGGACAGGGCAGAGGCGAGTGAGGTGAGGGAGCCGCTCGGAACTGCGCTCTCTGCGATGCCCCGGGCCGGCGTTCCCGCAGCGACGCCGATCCCCTCGACCGGGGCAGCCCGGGCGTTGCAGGTGTCGGACTCCCTGAGGCGGTGAGCGTCCCCTTGTCCCTGGTTCCCCTAGCAGCCCTGCGCTAGGGCTTCAGGGGGCGGGCCGCTAGGTCCCTCGTAACTGTCAGTCACTCCCTGCTGCAGCGCTGAGTGCTGGGCGTGTGGGAGGTGGCTGTCAGTTAAAAGATAGGGACGCCAAGGCCTGCGCCCTTGGCGACACCGCCTCCTGAGCCGTACAAGCCCTTGGTCACGGGCCCGGCCACACACCCTGGCCAGTCTGGACCGGCTCAGCGCGAAGCTCTTGGTTCTGCGAAAGAGCGCACATGGCGGGGGTGGGGGGTGGGGTGGGTGAAAGGACAGGTGGAGCGGTGGCCGCGCGACGTTAGTGCAGCGAAATGGCTGGGATGAGTTCGGCTTTGAAAAGCTTGCTCAAAAAAAAAAAAAAAAAAAAAAAAAAAAAAAAAAGGCTTGCATAACGGGCTCATCCCAAAATAGTTTTTGATGTCAAGACTAGAGACGTTCAAATGCAAGACCGGACACCCACCCCCCGCCCCTCCTCGCCTCGAAAAGAGTAACTTTCGATCTTTCTTACTTGGTTATTAATTCCGTCAACAAAGAAAGTTCTGGGGGGCATTCGGGGGGCGGCGGAATCTCGGGGTTGGAGTGCTTGTCTAGTCTGCAAAGCTCCCTGAGTTTTATCCTCAGCACTTTAAAACAAATATTGAATGGGAAACATCAAAGGAGACATGAATAATATTTGGTACGTTCATAAAAAGCTGGTTTTGTGGTTTTGTTTTTCCACTTATGTGATTTCACCCATTGCCACTCACCCAGGTTTGGGTTCTAAAAGTGTTTAACAGCGCCCTCCCCATCCCCCAGCAACTGGCCTGTTCCTTGAGTCAACAAGGGACACTGATTGCATGCAGGCATTTGGCGTCAGCTCCCCTGGAATGTCCTTTCATTTTCTGGATAGAGCAGGCTGAAAGAACTCATACTTAATCCGACTGGCTGCAGTACCCTATTGCGATCTCTCAATCATTGGGGGTGTTTGTGTGAATTCTTGGGAATGGAGAGAATGACAGGCATTGTGGAGAAAGGGAATGCTTTCAAGTTATGTCATCCTTGGCATCAGTTTTTTGAGTCACGTTCTGATGACATTGTTTCAGCCTGCTTTGCCCTTTCTCAGGCCCCTGGTTTGGTTTGAGTGAAAAGGAGTACTTGTCTTTATCCAGTAAGGGTTAGAGAAGTCCACTGCTGGCATTTAGGTGGCTTTGTTTGTTTATTTGTTTGTAACTTAATCTGAAAAGCCTTCAAAGGGTGAAAGTAGTATGAACTTTAAAAATGACTGCATATTGGAGATTGCAGAATACTATAATCATTGTTCTTATGGGGGAGGGAGGAACTGGAATATACAAACACTAGTTTTATTCAGTAAGTAGGAAAAAACTTAAGTACTTTGAATGCACCCTTTCAAAACCAACATTGCTACAGCGAATTTGCTTGCCTAACCCTTTGGGGTGGTTTGAATGGGAATGGTCCCCATAGCTTCCTGTAATTTGCACACTTAGTCCCCAGTTGGTGAACTGTTTAGGAAGGGTTAGAAAATGTGGCTTTGTTGGAGGTGTATTGTCACTGGGAGTGGGCTGTGAGGTTCCAAACGCCCACACAATGCCCAGTCTCTTTGTCTGTGCTTGCTGCCTATCTCAAGGGCTGCCCTAGCACCATGCCTGTTTGCTTCCCACCATGATGATAATGGACTAACTTTTTAACTATAAGCAAGCCCATAAATAAATGCCTTCTTTTTAAAGTTGTTTTGATTATGGTGTCTCTTCACAGCAATAGAACAATAACTAAAATAGCTCCTAATTTATATTTTCTGTTTACCTTGCTTTTCAATAGGCTTAAAGATCATGTTATGCTGTGCCTACTTGTCAAATTTTTTAGTGTCTTACTATTTAAATTTAAACATATTTTAGGGAGGGAGGTTATAAAATGTAGTGTTTCCTTACCTTTGCTTCTGGAAATAGTTTATAGTGATCAGGAAAGCTTAGTAAAGAACGGAAGAGATGGTTCAGAAGTTCAGTTGGGGAAAACTTGATTTTTTTTCCTCCAGCATTCTGGTGGCTCCCAAACATTGGTTACTTCAGTTTTATGAGACCTGATGTTCTTTTCTGGCCTCTACAGTTACCAGGCAGGCACATGGTACACATACCTACATGCATACAAAACATACATATAAAATAAATAAATCTAAATGAAAATTTTAGATGGAATTAAAGATGCCTTTAATTCCAGCACTGAAGAGGCAGAGGCAGGCATATTTCTGACTTTGAAGCCAGACTGGTTAACTAAGCCAGGGCTACACGGAGAAGCCCTGTCTCAAAAAAAACAAAACAAAACAAAGCAAAACATTACTAAAAAATACGAGAACTCAAACTTACTATTTGGTGAACATGCAAATGTTACATTCCAATGATTATCCTGATATTTAAATTTATTTTGGATGCCATACAGCATTCTCTGCCATTCTACAAACATAGTACACATTTAAAAACAACTTAGTATATTCTTTATAAATTTAATTTTAAAAATTATTTACATTGGTGTCAGGGTGTTGGATTCCCTGGAACTGGAGTTAGGTGCTGGCAATTGAATTCAGGTATTCTGGAAGAGCAGCCAATGCTCTTAACTTCTGAACCATCTCTTCAACCATATATACATATGTACTATGTAATTCTGGCTTTCCTGGAACTCAGAGATCTCATGCCTTTAATCCTAGTATTTGGTAATGTATCATCTTTAATTAAAATAATACTGCATAAATACAAAAATAAATCTAAGAATACCTAGTTCTAGTTTCCTTGCTGCTCCTATGATAAACACTTTGACCAAAACATAACTTAGGGAGGACAGGGTTTGTTTGACTTACACTTCCAGATCATAGTCTGTCATTGAAGAAAGTCAGGAATTATGGCAGGAACTATGGAGGAACAATGTATCGCTTTCTAGTTTGCTCAAAGGCTAATGCATATTTAGCCTTCTCCTATAATCCAGACCTCCTGCCTAGGGATGAGGCCATCCTTAGTTGTCTGGGCCTCTTCCATCAATTAATAATCAAGACAGTTCTTCACAGACATGCCCACTGACCATTCTGATCTAGGCAGTTCCTCTATAGAGGCGCTACAGTCAGATGACTGCAAGCTGTGTCAATCTGGCAATTAAAGCTAAGTAGGACACTAATACTTCCAGTACTCAATTTTGAAAGATCATTATTATTATTTTTGTAGTTGCCTTTAGCTTGCTTTCACCTACTTGGAATGCTAATAATATGGAATATGCAATTTTAGGGGTGAGTGAGTGAGTGGAAAGCCTGATAAGTTGTGATAAGAATTCAGTTTTTCACTATTGAAATGTTAGTACCACTCATTGGTTAAATGAGAAGCTTATTTACATTTCCTATTATGACTAGGTAAATATGATTAGCTTTAGAGCCAAATGATCAGCTGAGATTGCTTCTTTTGTTCATTTAAGTTTCCATCATTCTTTGAATTTCTCCTCCAAATGTTTTAATGCCATCAAATATGCCAGGCAATGCAGAGATCTGTCGGTTTCATTTTTTAAGACTGCTTCTTTCACACCTTTAATCCCAACAGTTGGGAGGCAGAAGCAAGCAGATCTCTGTGAGTCCAGGCCAGTCTTGGTCTATAAAGTGAGTTCAGGACAACTACACACACACACAAAAAAAAAGACTGCTTTTTCATGTCTCCCATCTTTGCACTCTTGTCTTCTCTTTCAAGACAAATATCTTTATTTATTTATTTTTATTTTATTTATTTTTTGTTTTTATTTTTTTGAGACAGAGTTTCTTTGTGGCTTTGAAGCCTGTCCTGGAACCAGCTCTGTAGAACAGGCTGGCCTCAAACTCACAGAGATCCTCCTGCTTCTGCCTCACGAGTGCTGGGACTAAAGGTGTGATCCACCAACGCCCAGCCAGATAGCTTTCTTATACATCCCAGACCCACTTGGGTAGAGATGGAACCATTTGTAGTGGGCTAGGCTTTCCTAAATAAATCAGCAATCAAAAAAAAAAAAAAAAAAAAAAAAAAGTTCCAAAAGACCATCTGATGGAGGCAATTCTTCAACTGAGGTTCCCTCTTCCTATCTTTATTCTACCTTTATACTGGAATTTTGGTTTGGTTTGATTGAATTCAACTCTAGATTTTCTTCAAACTGCTTAATACTTAATTCCACTATATCTGCTGTTGGTATTGTTGTTTAAAAATCTGATATCTGTGTTTCTTATTCATTTATAAATGGGTGATATTTCCTTTTCAACAAGTTTTTGGTATTTCATTTTTGGTTTTACAAAATTGTATGCAATCATGATTATGTTTTTTTTATTCACTGTGGTATTTGTACTTACATATTTTTATATATTGGGTGGTATCCTTTCAACTCTGAGATCCTCTTTGTCCTGATTAGTTTGGTTGTCAACTCCATGCACCTGGGAAGAAATAAGCCCTTTCCTTACCATGTTGGGTTTTGTCTGTGTTTTTATCACAGAACAGATAGTAAACCAGGATATTGTCTTTTCCTGTACTTAGCTAAAACTGACATTAGTATATTTTATTCCTTTCCATTTATTGTGGCCTTTTATTTTTAAGTTAGATTTTTGACCTTTTGGATCAGTCTTTAAAAAAAAAATCCTTCCAGTTTTTTCATCTCTTAATTGTTACTGTTTTCTAGATTCACCAGGCTAATTCTTAAACTTTATCACTGTCCTTTTAACATTTCATTTTGATCATCATAGTCTTAATTTTGTAGAGCTCCTTTGTATTGTGGTTGCTTCTTTATTATAGCATCTTGCAGGCTTTTTGTTTTTTGAGACAGAGTTTTTCTATATGTTAAACAGTTCTTTTCTCAAATAAAACTTGAGTAAACAAACCAACAAAAGTCTCTCTCTCTGTGTGTGTGTGTGTGTGTGTGTGTGTGTGTGTGTGTCTTCAACCTTGTTTTGAGACAGGATCTCTCTTCTACTCTTG